TCGGTTCCAAGCACCTTGTACTTGCTCTTCTTCTTTCCGGCATCGCAGAAGGCATCGTGTTGGCCTTTCCTGAATTGGCGACTTGGAGAACAATACAAACCCGTTTCCCCTCTTGATTTATATGCAGAAACACACAAACAGCATACATAGAATCTCCATGTGATGGAGGATAAACAGTTTTGCATTGTGTGTGTGCATTGTGAAAATTATGTAAAATTAAAATGGTGAAATTTGCAGCTTGAAGCACCAGAAATTAAACGAAATCCGCCAGCTGAAGATGATCATCCGCCACTAAACCACTGCTAGGGTGACACCCAAGGATCCTCTTGAGTGGTAACCATGTGGAAAATCATCAACAAAAATCCGAACATATCCAGCTTGTGCTTCAACTGCCCATGATCTGAGATTAACCAATACAATTCATAAGTCAAAGTATATACTGTATGCGTTGATTCGAAGTGTTGCTTGGTTCTGAATTCTACTCTTATTCAACTAGTTTCCCATTTATATACCTCACTTTCAGATATCAAATCTTTTCCATCCCACATCCTACAGTCCGGCTACGGTCCGGTCATGTCCGGTCCCACTGCCGTAGCTTCAGCAGCATCATGTCGCACTCAAACTTGTGGTAGAAGGCGTCCAAGGTTTCACAACCAATGGCCAAATCGCTGGCGAAGACCTTGGGCCGGTGAAAAAAAGGGGCCCCATAGTATTGTGATGCGTCCTCAAAAACCGTAAAACAATGGAAATACATAATATGACACATGACATATATGACATGACTTCAAAATTCCGCCTTTGGTTGTTGCTGAATTCCTCAGCCTTGCAGATTTTTGTGCCCCTCCCATCATTGGAACAACAGCCCTGATTTTGTTGCTGGAATTGTGTGAAGTCGTTGAATCTCCCTTGACCCATGACCTTCTTGTTGATGAGCTCAAAATTGGACCAGTTGAAAGCCTTCACCACCTGCCATGGAAAAATAACCGTGGTCCAAAGCAATGTGGGGCTCAAAGCTCGAAGGGCTCGAAGGGATGAGGTGTCGGATAGGTGTAAATATATATATATATCATACATGCTTGTATCATGTACCTTTATATACACAGTACACGCATATGTTGCATATTTAAGGAGAAACTGTGTGTTGAGTTATGTTGAGTTTGACAGTTCATCTTGTCTGTATAAGATTGTGCATATATATATATATATACATACATATATATATATATGTATACATATATATATATATATGATGTGTAAGACTGTGTAGGTGTATATTCATGTGCATTGAGCATGCAAAAAAAGTGTCTTCCGCCAATCCAGGGTGATGAATTTGTGAAGCAAGCGAACTTTTTTGTTTTCCCTGGAACATGTATATACTTGAACTGTCTGAACTTGCCCATTTGTTGCAACAAAATGGCAAAACAGCTCCCCTTTCAGTTGCTGGGGATGGCCTTGTTGGGATCCGACTTCAACTCCATCTGTCCCTGCTCAGACAGCAGCGGCACGCTGGGTGGCGCTCGGTCGGTGACCACCACCGCACTGGGCCCCACGCCATACTTTACCTCGGAGGCTCAGCTGGGATGATCCTTGATGAATCATGGATCAGCTGGGAGGTTAATCACTGGTTACTATGGCAGTTCATAAATGGTTGACAGCTGGAATTCTAACCAGGATGAACAAATATGAACATTAATATGAAGCAATTTGTCCTGATATTTGGGATGTGAAATTAGAACCACCCTCCATACCGCCTCCGCCATGGAAATGTTAAGAGGGATGTGTATATCCGCCATGTCCGAACTTCAGGGCCTTCAGGGGTCATTGGATCATCCCGCCCAGCTGCAAGGATCGTCTTGGACAGATGGACTAAAAGCCTCGTTGGATGCGGGACGGCAGGACGTTGGATTCAGAACCCCTGTGATGAGATCCGTTTTGTCCATGCGATTCTGTGATTGCTGGCACTGTGAGGTAATATTAAATGTGTATATACAAATATCTATTCATCTCTTCACATATATGTATAAAGCGCGTATGTGTATGTGCAAAATTATATATGTATGCAGATATATATATATATATGCATATATATATATATACATATATATATATATATATACATACACATACATACATACATACATACATACATGCATGCATACATACATACATACATACATATATAATTATATATATACACATTATGTTCATGTAATTTATCTCTTGATGTATAGACAAATGCATACAAATGCATGGTTGTTTCATATCCATATTGCATACACACATACTTACATATGTATTAATTATATATATATATATATAGTTGTTGTTGATTCACATGCGTTTTTTCTGGGTGAGGAACTGGCAGCCGACGGACCGGCCCATGAAAACGAAGGGAGCACCTGGATAGTGCCGGGAAGGAAAGAATCATGGGATGACATGGGGATCATATGGGAATAAAGGGGGATATGTTGGGAGTATGGTTCTTTTTACCGTTGAATATGGGGATAATATGGGGATTCCTGTGGATTATCCCGCAAAAACTTGGACATTTGGGGCAGCACTACTAAGGACCGGAGGGTATACCAATCAGCATCAAATGATAAGCAAATGTTTAAAAAATGGAAACCACGGAAGACTGGCACAGCCCGCCTTCGTACTTGGCGCCCTCGATCAACTCCTGAAGGTCCAAGTATAGGAATTGTTAAAGAGCTGCAGAAACCCGGTCAAGTAGGATAGAAGCGATCTTCCAATAATAGCAATAATAAAAACAATAATAATAAATGATAACAATAAGAATAATAATCATCATCATCATCGTCATCATCATCATCGTCATCAGAATAATAACTGTAATAATAATACTGTAAGAATAATGACAATAATTTCAAGAATACCAATAATAATAATAATACATTCACATTTATTACCTGCTCTCAATACAGTCTGGACACTGATCCACCAGTGTTGGTCATGTTTTACTGTTTGAGCCCAAACTGGTGATCCTCAAGCTGGTTGGTGCTTATATATATATATATGTGTGTGTGTGTGTGTTTATGTAGTGCTATTCCCTATGTGTGTTTGCTCGATCATCCTTTTCTGGGAGCCAATGGCTTGGCCACCCCGCACGGCCTGACATGACATTCACTTGTTGATCCTGACCCTTACACCCCCTATCCACAACCACAATGCACCTGCAGATGAGAGCAGCTTCCATGTGCTCAATTCTCTCAGAAGAACTTGGGATGGTAGGATTGGGAATCCTAAAATGTGGTAGCAATTGTGGTAGCCTGTGTGAAAATTGGCTGTAGGTGCCCCAAGTTATGGCCATTTTAACAGGGGAAATGATGACTATCCCATAAATCAAATCAACGAGATTGGGCTATAGCAATGGACCACTGATCCCCAATCTAGGCGATTTGAGAGGGGAAAATAGGGTTAACTACTCGATTGACATTGACATACTGTTAACACTAAAGACGACGACTCAAACCCAAGTTCATTCAAGACATATCTTAAATTTCACCATGGTCCAACGATAGTAACCACCATGAAAAAATGCCAAATAAAACATGTTCCCAACAAAAACACAAATTTTCCTAAAATATATTATCAAGCGTTTTCCCATATAATCAATCAACCATTGTCCCATCAAAAAACAGAAAACTTGATTGTCCCACAAAAGTCAACCGTTTTCCACAAATCCCTGGATTTTAAACAATGGGAAAATGGTTTCCAAAAAATCGACCATTATAAAATTCCATTTTAAAAAATGGATGGATGCCCCATTAAAAATGATATCAACAATGGAATGTCCCATCCAAAAAACCACCATTTTGGCACAAATTCCCCATGGGGATCTCCTCAATAGCCGGCTGGATGGCTTCCAGGGCATCCTTGGCCAGGGACTCGAAATCCTTCGCCGGCTCCTGGCTGCAAAAAATAAGGACTTCACCGGCGAAAATCGGGAGTTCACCCACAAAAAGTTGGATTTCATATATTTCATCAATAAAATGAGGGGTTTTACATTTCGTTGATCGGCAAAAACATCCTTATCATCCCCGAAACGAACAGTATGAGCCTGAGAATCAATCATTTTTTGGTGTTCCAGCACCCTATTTGCAGGGTGTATGTTAGTTTGGGGGATGATAGTTTGATTAGTGAAGTCATGCTGGAATTTCCATGTCCTGTAGGCAATTTGAATGGACTGATTTAAGGAAGAATATACTGGAAACCATCAGTAGATTGATCCTTGAACCAATCAATCAGGGGTTCATTGAATATCTTGGGGGTAGAATAGGGAATGAATATAGTAGAATTTTACCCCGTATGTGTTTTTAAGTGTGCATGCATATGCAAAAGAATGTGATACAAGAAACTCTAGGCCGAGAAACTTTAGAAGATACTTTACCAGCATCGTACTAGAACCTTAAAGGAGTGAAACATGTCCACCGCAAACCTTTCACTCTTGATGGCAGCCCTCAACTCCCTTGCACTTTCCTCCCCCCTGGGCAGTCCTCACTGGCACGCCAACCGTGTCCTGGGTATTCGTAGAGGCCAAATTCCAGCCATTTGGGAATGCCAGCAACGACGAACTTCAAATCCTCTGCGCTGTCTCCTGCCAATACTTTGCACAAGGAGACCAGACCCTGCTGCAATCATTATGGAAATGTTCTTGGGGCGGGAAGGACCAAATTGTTGATACCACCAAAGAGTCAGAACTATCCATATACCTGTTCATTGATGATATGGGCCAAGATTATGTGAATGCAACAACAACAACAACAACAACAACAACAACAACAACAACAACAACAACAACAACAACAACAACAGACCCAAAAATCATCCCAACTCTGCACCTTCCAGTCAACTAACATCAAATTTACGGAGAAAAATCCTTTTCAGATCATGTCCCTAGGATCTCAATGGAAATCCCTGGATCTGCCAATTTCAAACGGTCTGCAGGCTCCACCTGGGCCTTGGAAGATGAAAGCCCGCATCTTGATTCCACCTGCACAGAGGGAGTTAAACGTGTCACTTTGGAGAACTATTTATTTATGCCGTGGGGAGGGGCCCAAACGGGCCATCACGCGAAGCCAAAACCGCATTCTAATTTTCCCTTTAACGGTATATATTGTATCAATGGATAGTTAAATATGGGTAGTTGAATCTATTCTATCAATGATCTACACATAAGAAAGCGTGTACATGGAAGTACGGAGGTGACCTTCATGGATAACATGTATGTCTATGCAGTATACACATTAATATATATTATTATATTATATACAGAATATATATCCTGGAGAGCCACAATCCCATGTTTTTCTTTTGGAATGTTTTGGTCAAAAAACGGTCTTCGCATTTGTTTTGCTATTGCGACGTTCTTGTGGAGCCATGTTTCCGAACGTTGCTAGGTTTTCTTTGTTTTGCGCCTGTGTTTCAACAAATCATTTTGGCACCAAAAAAACACGGGCATGGCAAAGAAACCCATGCAAGAACAGAGAACACCCAGGGCGGGCCGGGCCGGGCCCAGCGCTGGTAGACATGTCATCTTGTGGCCCAAACAGCCTCGGTTTCAAGTGTTTACCGCCTTGCAGCTGCGCGGTCATTCGGCAAACTTTGTCTTTGTTTGATGTCTACATTTCCTCAGTCTGCCCGCTACAACAGCAATTGAATTTCATTGCTGATTGATGCCGCTCTCCTTCCCTTGCTGACGTCAGGACGATCTTTTCAAGCGCAGGCACTGGAAGTTAGAAATCTCTTGCACCAAAAAAACAAGCTCGGTCAGGTAGAGCTTCACAGGCATGGCAAAGAAACCCCAACACCAGCGACTGGCTGATTTAGCAGACGTAATGCCCTGATCAAAGACAAAAATGATCAAAAATGAAAAGCCACATGGTTGGACCAGACCACGCGAGCCCACCGCCTCCAGAAACAATGCGCCAGCTCGTCCGAAGCTGCCGAAGATGGTCACCCACACTGGCAGTGAGGCCATTCGCAAGGCATCCGGTAACTAGGGGCAGGGCGTCAATACCTGCGCTTGTGAATTCCGAGAAAGAAGTCAGCAGCGCCAAATCTTTTGTCTGGCGATTGCTCGGAAAAGTCTGTGCTTGCCTCTTGAAGGAGCATCAGCTGGATTGTCCTCAGAAGCAATGTAGACCAAGCGGACAAGCAGGTCACACGCAAGGGTATGAGCCCCAATTGATCTCACCACACTTCGCAAACCAGGGGCAGAAGTTCTGCCTTTAGCAGCGGCGCCCAAAACAGCCTTGGCGTCTACCAAGACTACAACTTTTCTGTGGTGTTTTGAACGGCTCCTCGCCAGCCATTTCAAAGTAAGAAGCAAAGCATGCCCTTCCAGTGTGCTAGAATGCGCTTTCCACTTTGCTGGTGAAGAGAGTATGGTTCGAAAATCCTTCTTTGAAACACCTAACCGATGCGGCACCCCAAGCCTGGACTTTTCAGGACCTTCACTGCTGTCCTTGTGCACCCTGACAAAATCCCCACGGCGTTCTGCCAAACGCCCCAGGTTGGCAACTACACCTTCTGAACAAGGAGTTTCTGAGACCCCGAAACCAAAATCTCGGGCCGCGTCACAAGCAAGAATCTCGTTGTAGTATCGCTTGTCAAGGCTAACGCTCAGAAGCGGCAGAAGGCCAAGAGCTGCTGCAATTTCTTGAAGAACCGGTTGCGGAAGGCAAACCTTTTCTCTGTCGGGCTGTAACCTGACGAAGTCATAGATTTTGTCAAAGACTCCAAACACAGGCCGTTGCAACAAGCAAAACCATTGTAGAAGACCTAGCAACGCATTCACTGCCTTAGGAGAAGCTCGTTTGGTCTGTAACAAATCTAAACAAGCCGCGACGCAGGTCAAAAGCTTCGGCTTTGCTGGCTCTGCAATGTGAGGCCGGCTGGTCAAATCACACCCAAGCGCCGTGATTTGCTCAGTCAATGTGATGTCTTTTGCAACCTTCCTGGGTATGCCTGCTGCTTCCAAGGAAGCATCAAAGCACGCCAATGTGTTCTGCCCTTTGGTGGCATCCCGGTGCATGAACACAGTGTCGTCAGTAGCAACCATGCAAAGTTCTGACTGGACTGCAGGGGGTGGGTGATCCATCGACAGAACATTTTCCAAAGCCACGCCAGATGCAGCCACGCGTGCCAACGTTGTACTTTGAGCAACAACGGAAGACCAGCTGAAGCCCATAGGCCACACAACATTTACAGGAAAAACGGCATCCGTAGCTGACAGAGTCCCATCGCCCAAATCATCAACCAACTTTTCCAAAAATTGCAAGGTCCATCCACCTGCTGTCATGAGATCACGGACCCGTACTGCAGGCTGGCCAAACCAGGGCTGCAGCTGTTCAGGCACCTTTAGCACATCAAAGAAAGTTTCTGCATCTCTCTTTGAAAACCAGATCGGATCAGTTGGCTGCACGTGCAAATCCAAAAAAGACGAAGGGTTTGCAAGCCGGGGTGGCACTGGCGGTTTTGCAGCTGCTGCAGACAAGTCGGAACCATTCCAAACTTTCCGCTGCCTTCCTGCCGTAGATTTCCCCACGGCAAAAACGTGGGCTGCTGCTTTGACAGAGAGTCTTAACCGAAGTTTGCCACACAAAATCTCCCGACTGACAAGCGCGAGGTATTCTGCCGAACAATTCGGAGTTTCACATCCGTTACCAAGCAGGCTAGTCTGAACCACTGGGAAAATACTGGAAGCATCTTGAACAGCAGCTCTCAGACTGTGGTCAACATGCAGCAAAGGGTCGCATGTTGCCGCATGAGTTGGAAGGTCCACAGCTGCACCAACTAGAGGCTCACAGGCCGTCAGCGAAGCAGCCTCAAACTTCTGGAATGTCCCTTTCCAATGCCAGCATGTCCCTGCCGCTGAAGAAAAACGTTCAAGCATCCGCTCGGTCTTGCCGACAACATGCGCCTGAGCTTCGATCTGCGACGCCGTCGGGGCGCCACTTGTCAGCTCACGCGACTGCTTGAAGTCGCTCCACAACAAATTCAGGCTGAGGATGCAAAGGTTTGCTAATGTCAGCGCCGGAAACTCCCAAGCTTTCTTCAAAGTGCTGTTGACAGGCCACTTGGCCAAAGGCGGCAAAGGAAAGAAATCCCGAATCCTTCGTTGGCACTTGCCCCTGCTGGAGCACAAAGCTGCAAAGTTTTCCCTTAAAAGGCCTGTCCTGCCCAAAAGCAAAACATCAACAGCCTCCCCTAATAGCTGGACAGTATCTGAGCCAGTTTTCGTGTGAGGGCTGTCGACCCCTCGAAACAACAGCTGGCGGGCAGCATCTCTGCCTTTCTTGGCTGGCGAGGGCCTAGGACCTCGACGCCTTTTGGCTTTTGGTCTCATAAAGAAAAATGCATTGCCCAATCCAGGTGGTGCAGGGATGTGAGGTGAGTTCCACGGAACAAAAAGGCAAGAGGGTTCATGGCTGTGCGCGGTGACCATTCACTCAGCTCACTACCCAAAAAAGAAGAAACCTACCCCAGCGCTGGTAGACATGTCATCTTGTGGCCCAAACAGCCTCGGTTTCAAGTGTTTACCGCCTTGCAGCTGCGCGGTCATTCGGCAAACTTTGTCTTTGTTTGATGTCTACATTTCCTCAGTCTGCCCGCTACAACAGCAATTGAATTTCTTAGAATTACAGTTCTACTACCACAAGTAGGTGTTTCTTTGACTTGACCATTTTTTGGAGTCATTACGCACAGCAATGGCAGAAACAGCATCAGCATTTGGCCGAAAAAAAATAAAATCCCCGTTTTTTTCCCATGAGGACCAGGAAAGACTGGGATTTATGGTTTTCCATGTAGCTATCCATACCGAAAGCCCAGGCCGAGGCCTCTGCTGGGAGAAGGGATTTTTCCGCATTGTTGATAAACTTTGAAGGTGGTCAAATCACAGTCAACTGGGCCCAAGTGTAACTACTGGAACTGTTGGGTCTCAACCTTCGAGTGTCCAGAGGTTTCATCCGCCAGCCATGCCTTGAGGATTGTTGATGCAGTCGATCAACGGCAGGCCCTTATTTCTGGGCATCGGCGCCATAGTTCCAGAGAAGGTCTAGCGCGGGTCAAATTTGTCCGGTGGTTTGAACAAAAAAACATGATCAAAATGGTTCAAACCTGCAGCTGGTGACAAACTCAAAGGGGTATGGCCACCCAAAACGCGGGTAACAACATGATTTTGGGGAATACCGACATCACCAAGAAAAGGAGGACTGAAATATTGGAACCCTGAAAGATTTTTGGGGCAATCTCCAAATATGTTTTTGGGGTGAGAAAGTCTGAGCATTTGCCAATGGATCTACGGATCTAGTATAGGGATATTTGTCCCTAAGTTTCAGACAAAACCATGTATTGTTGCACCAGTTACAAATACATCATACCCTTTGGTAAACTAACATAGTTATTGAAAATTGCCATTTTACCTACTAAAAATGGCGATTCTCAATAGTTATGTTAGTTTACTAGAGGGTACCGGGCCTTCAACGTCTTCTTCTGCATGGTGACACCACTTAGATTCGCCAGCGCCTGACCCCAGAGATGCCACTATGGGTCCAGGCTTCAAAATGGAGCATGAAACAAGGCCAAGACGCAATAAAAAAAAACGCCAAATAATGTCCAACTTATGCATAGACATTGTCGAAGGAAGTTTAGAAGTCAAACTTCCGACAATATGGACAGATGAAAAGCAAAGGTGGTAAGAGTCAAAGAAGAGAAGAGAAGAGAAGAGAAGAAGAAAGAAGATCAAAAAGAGAAAGTCTCAGAAGAAAGCAGATCCAGGTGCACGAAAAGGTAGGAAAGTCGCGAAACACTGTGTTTTTGTAATGATTTGTGGCTCCGGAGGGTCGAAAAGTAGGCTCCCTAAAGCGGCGGGTGCGGAGCCAGCTGGCCAAATGAGAGATGAAAAATTGCACGCCGTTGTGGCGAAAAGCACATTTGCAAGTGAAAGAGCTAAAAACACCTCACGTTCGGAGCACTTTTG